AGCGTATGTTCGATTCCATTTAATATTTCGTTCAAGAATAATCTATAAATTAATTATAAAAACATTGTCATAATTAATTATCATATATTATATGTTTTAAAAATTTAGTATATTACGATTTTATTTATAAAAAACATTTTAATAAATTAAAGATATATATACATATATATTATTTATTTTGATACTAATGATATATATATATATATATATATATTTATATTTTTTTATATGTTTTTTAGACAAGTGCTTGACATTAAAGTTAGTATGTGTTTCACATTACCCGTTTTTCCGGAATTTGTAAACATGAAGTGGTGTTGTGTGAAATACTGGATGCAGTACCAAAGTCTTCTTTCAAGTGGTATGATTGTTACAATTAGTCGACTATATTACGTGTTGATGATGAGTTGTACGCTTTTAGAATCATATTCACATTCAACACCTTTTTCGATCTTTTCATTTTTCAAACAATAACCAGTACCAATTATCCTCACCCTCCACATTTTTTAATATAAGTTTATATTACATCTTAAAATGAAAGGGGGGAAACAAAAGGTACACATTTTGCTATTTGAAAACAGTGATCAGATATTTACCCTAATTTACATGTGAGGATAAAAATATTTCTGAACGTACGTGTGAATAATTATTAAAGTTCGGGTACACGTTAATTTGAAACAATCTTGGTGAATTATCGTACCACATGAAGTTGGAATATTTGGACAGCAAAGTTCTTGAAAATCCTCCTTGTCTTAGCATGTAGTCTCATATGATGTCTTTACTTCCATACAACAAACATTGCAGTTTGTCATGCAGTGTCGCACCATTCTTCAAAGCCAATCACAAACCACCGCACTCTTCTCGTTTAGGTTTAGATCAACCAAATATAATTATTTATTAGAATATCAAATTAAATAAAATAAAAATAAAAGTTTAATAACATAAAAAAATATTCATCCAATGATAAAAAATATATAATATTATTTTTAACTCAAAATTTTAAAATATTAATACTCTGTCTTCCGGGTTTGTAAATTAACAATTGTTCTGCTTTTGCATCATTCTAAAATTGAGATCATATTTATATTACTTTTCCTTCTGTCTTTCTTTTTTTCTCCGTCAATGTAAGTTTTCAAATACTCCCACTTTATATTTCCGCCCTTCTAAATTTTCAAACCCTCCCACTTAATAATTTCTTTGTGATTATATTTATTCCGTTTAGAATAAGCGAGATATGATATCTTGTTTGACCTGATAGTATTGATATGGTTAATTATCGTATTTGAAATATTATTTACTTTAAAATTTTAGTTTATTATGATTTTATTCTTAAAATATATTTTATGTTAAATTTTTTATTTAAAAATAAAAATATTTCAGTCTCATATTCATTATTATTAAGATCAATTCTCATATTTGAGATATTATCTTTTTTAAACTCTAATCCATTATAATTTTATCTTTAAAATATATATTTTAAAAATAAAATTATGATAAATTAAAATTTTAAAACGGATAATATTTTATATATAAAAATTATTTTTTAATGATATTATATAACAAAGATGAGATGGAGCACTCTCTAAGAACAATGTTGATATAAAAATTAATCACCACCCATCAATTCTCAAGATATGATACATGCACAATAATTTATATAATATTATTTTTGTGTTTATTAATATCTTCGACACTTTTTATTTTATTTTTCTTTTGATAAATTTATTATATTTTTATTACTGTCATGAAAGGAGGCATTTCCCCATGACCTGAATCTATGATAGATTCAAAGTGAAAATGATTTTTGACTTGTTTGATTGGAAAATGAGGCAAGGTTGAAGTGAAGTGAAACCTACCCACCACAGCAACTCATATTGTGTTCATTGAAGTGTGGTGTTTTGGTGACATGAAATCCTCTACCTCAATATTCGTCATTTTGTTCTTTTGTTATCTTTGGGTGATACCAATAAGCATTTGTCTAATTGTCTCTACTCTCATATTAGATACTATTTTCTCCCTCTTTCTAGTACGAAGCTTGCCATTTTCCAATTGCTTCCCCTGAAAAGCTGTCCCTTGATAACTTTTGTCACAACATGTACCTCATTCAATGCCAATTTTTGCAAGTACTTCTATGTTTTTAATCACCCTTTCTTTTATTATATTTGCTCCCCTACTTTACCTTTTTACCCTCTTCAATGACCCTTTTGTAGTTACTTGTGCTTTTGCCTTTCATAATTTACACAAATTTCTTATTTAAGGTGTAGGGTTTAGGTGAGTTCTGATCAAGTTCAAGAGACATTTTTAATTTTTATACTGTTTAAATGTAACTTAAAGAATACCTAAAGTGTACTTATAAGGAACTCTTCCCTTCTCAGACAAGTCAAGCATGTAAAATGAAGTATGATTTAAAAAACAAAAACAAAAAAATGATAATGTAGCATGTTGTACATGGAACATTGAATTTTTCATAAGCGCAAGACTCATCCTTTGTACTCAGTGGGGGTGACATTAGCATTACTCTCAGTAAGAAAAGCCAAAAACTCATTGGGAAATGCTTTTCAGGCTCCATAACAAAGGACAAATACCATAAGAATTTGAACCATTACTTAATTAATTAGGAAAGTTTAATACTGTCATGATAGAGAGAAGAAAAGAAAACAGAAAGAAAGAAAAAGTTAAAAAAAAATGGAGAGAGATTGTTTGATTTGAAAGAGATGAATAAAAAATAAATTTTATTTATTATCATTATTATTATAACAAAAACTTATTATTGGTATTATGGGTATCTCATAATTGATTACTCTCTTATGTTATCTTTGTATGTACCTTTAACTGTTTTTTTTTCTTCTAAATTAAATTTACCTTTATTAAAAACATATTTAGGACTTAAAATATAAATAAATAATATTTCATCCACTTGTTTCATTATTCTAATTTTAAATTTTATTATTTATTTTATTGTCTTATATAATTATAATATTTATATTGATTAAACTAATAAATTAGTCATTATTTATTAGAAAAGTGAAATTATGGACGAAGTGGTCACTTATAATACATATGCAAAACTTTTTAAAAATTAAAATTATATATTTTATTATAAAATATATTATTAATATTCGATTTAACATACTTTCTAAAAATCTAAATCTAACTTATTTTTTAGATGAAAATAAATTTTTAGAAAGCTTAAAGATAAACAGGTCAAATGGTTTAGGCCATTGGTCTTCAAATTAGTTTGATTTTATTAACTCTTTTGAAGTTTTAAAATTTATTTAATGCTCTTAATTTTATAAAATAAAAAACTATAATTTTAAATTATCCCTAAATCATAATCATCAATGTATCAAATTTAAACATACGATTATTTTTGAAATAATAACAACAAGTAAGAATGAGATAACATTATTAATTTCAAAATATGCAATTTTATGTTTTAATTCTAGACACTTTTTTAATGATTATGATTCAAGTAATTCAAAAATTAAAATTTTTTATTTTTTTTAAATTAGAATATTAAATGACTGACACTAATATTCTTAGTCAGTCCAAAATTAAGTATAAATTGAAAAATGTAAAATTTTAAAATATTATAATGTATGAATAACATAATACTTTTAAAAAATTACTATAATACTAAATATTTATTTGTAAATTAATTTTACAATAAACATATAACAAATATATATATATATATATATATATATATATGAATTATTTTAAGTTTTGTAATATAAAATTTGACTATCTTAACCTTCCCTTGTCGATGATAAGTCACACAAAATATTATATCATCATGATGTTCAACATTAGGTTGCGTAAAATGTGACTCTTATTTTTTATATTATTATTTAATTACAAAATTCTTAGAATAAAAATTAAAATAATCAAAATTTATATCATGTAACATTAAATTTAAATTTGTTTAAAAATTATACATATATATATATATATATTTAAATTATCCTTAACATTATTGAGAGACATTATATTTTTATAATTTTATTAGTTTAAATTATTTTAATTTCTCTCATTATTACTACAGTTATTGCTTTATTTTTATTGTTTACAAATATGAATAATCAAATAAAGATTACTAAAATAATTTTGGAAGAACAAAATACTGTATACACTATGCAAAGTTAGATTTCCTAATAGCTTAAAACATTGATGTATTTTATTGATTATTTATTCAATTCAGAAAAATGAGTCACAAAATACGGGGATTATGTGAAATAGTAATAAAAAATAACTAAATTGATTTTCATTAAAAACCTTCAAACTTTAAATTTGATTCTTTTATTGACTTCAAGATATGTCTCAGAGAATTATATTATTTTCAATATGTAAGAGTTTTAACATCTCTTTGGGTTGAATGAAACCATATAATTACTTAAAAAACATTAAATACATTTGATTAAACCCTTTTTATTGTTTATAAAAAAATAGTTAATTGTTTTTTATTTTTATAAATTGTTCTATTCTAAAAATGCAAGAATTATAAATGAAAGTCGCTCAATTATCTACAAATGATCAAGATCACAAATTAATTAGTACGACTGGTTAAAAAAGCCACATATATTTATATTTTAATTTTATCATTTTAATTAAAAACTAGTTTTATTTCTTATAATAACCTACAGTTCTTACATGATAATAATTTTTAATTCAAACAGTGTGGTGATTATAAAACTCTTTAAAGATTATCTTTTTCAGATTTTGAACTTTTATCTTCTGCATCGATGTGGGTTCCATTTCCACGGCACTCATGTTGGTAATTTAATTTGCATGACATGAGTTGTGTGTGTGTGAGAGAGGGAAGCTGTGTGCCTATATAATGCTCATTTCCTCTCTGTTTTTCCCAATAAGCGGCCTTGGCTTTTCCTTCATCATCTCTCTCGAACTTATTCACCTCTCTCTGTTTTCCTCTGTTTCTCTCAAAACATACCTTTTATTATTCCAATTATTTTACTATTAGAAACTAGTTTTGCATTGTTAATACAATGGCCATAGACTGCATGACAAATATACACTCCATGTCTCAGCCACAAAAGCACCACCACCATGACCACAAGGAAGATGAAGCACCATTGGTTTTTGATGCCTCACTTCTAAGGCACCAACTCAACCTACCAAAGCAGTTTATTTGGCCTGATGAGGAGAAACCATGCATGAATGTGCCTGAGCTTGTTGTCCCTCTCATTGACTTGGGGGGGTTCCTCTCTGGTGACCCTGTTGCCACAATGGAAGCTGCAAGGATGGTTGGTGAGGCTTGCCAAAAACATGGTTTCTTTCTTGTGGTGAACCATGGGATTGATGCCAGCTTAATCTCTCATGCTCATAGTTACATGGATGACTTCTTTGAGGTTCCCCTGTCTGAGAAACAGAGGGCTCAGAGGAAAACAGGTGAACACTGTGGCTATGCTAGTAGCTTCACTGGCAGGTTCTCTTCCAAGCTTCCATGGAAAGAGACACTCTCTTTTCAATTCTCAGCTGAGGAAAAATCATCCACTATTGTCAAAGACTACTTGTGCAACACATTGGGTCAGGAGTTTGAGCAATTTGGGTAAGTTCGTGACCAAAAGCATGTCAACATATTTTTTCTTTGTTTATTTTTGTTTGGCAAAGATATTCATTCTATTCCTTGATTGATATCATTTCCTTTGACTCTGTGTTAAAACTGTGTTTTTTCCTTTGTAATACAGGAGCGTTTACCAGGACTATTGTGATGCCATGAGTAATCTTTCTTTGGGGATAATGGAACTTTTGGGAATGAGTCTTGGAGTTGGTAAAACATGTTTTAGAGAGTTCTTTGAAGAGAACGACTCAATAATGAGGCTGAATTACTACCCTCCTTGTCAAAAACCTGACCTGACTTTGGGCACAGGACCTCACTGTGACCCAACATCTTTGACCATTCTTCACCAGGATCAAGTGGGAGGCCTCCAAGTCTTCGTTGACAATGAGTGGCACTCCATTAGCCCAAATTTCAACGCTTTTGTTGTCAACATAGGTGACACCTTCATGGTATGTTTGGTCTCTCTTTGAATGCACCTATCAATGAACTTGTTTTGTAGTCAATGACTTTTTGTGTGATGTTATTTTTATTCAATCTTGTTTCACTTTCTTATTCTGTAGGCTCTTTCCAATGGAAGGTACAAGAGTTGCTTGCATAGAGCAGTGGTGAACAGCAAGACAACAAGAAAATCTCTTGCTTTCTTTTTGTGTCCAAAAAGTGATAAGGTGGTCAGTCCACCAAGTGAATTGGTGGATGACTTGACCCCAAGGGTGTACCCAGATTTTACATGGCCTATGCTGCTAGAGTTCACTCAGAAACACTACAGAGCTGATATGAAAACCCTTGAGGCATTCACCACCTGGCTTCAACAGAAAAGGAGCTGAAAATTTCACGCACATGAATGGCATATTATTTATTAGCCTTTGATATTCCCATATGAAATAGTGACAAGTGTCATGTGGAAGTGTAATTGATGGCAGAAAGCACTTAAAGGAAAAGGGCCGCAGCAAAAAGGCACTGAGATTGAAAAATTGAAAGAAAATTCATATTTTCTTCATGTTTTGAGTGTTGCACACTAGTGATTAGTAGTAATGAACAAAACCAGGGAGATAAAATATTTATAAGGAATCAATAAGAAACAATTCGCCAGCTAATTTTGTAATTTTTCTTTGGTGATATAGAAAAGCTATTATTAAACGTCCAATATTTTCTTTCTTTTTTATTTAACATGCATGACCACATATGATAAGGTAATAAATCCAAGTCAATTTTCTCTATCGTATTAGAGCCATTAACAAGAGGCTCTAACCACTTCATAACTTCTCCAAGATTCGGAGAAGGCCTTGATATTCTGTCTAATCCCAGTAACTCTCCATGCAGATACTATACTCACTTTTTCTTCATTCCTTTCATCAATTTCTTTATCATGTCTCGTGTACCATTAAATAATAATAATAACAGTAATAATAACCTTTAATTGTCTATGATTCATTAGATTATGCAGCCTTAACCTTCTTCTATTCATTAAGGGTGCCAACTAAATTTTTAAGGGTGTTATATACTTTTATCCTATTATTTGTTTCTGATGCACAGAAAAGAGAAGTGAAAATCAGAAGCTAAATTCAAAACTCATGCATTCATTTTGCAGGATGATTTTGGATTGAACTTGTAAATCAATTTCTATGTAAGTAATCATGATATAATTCTTCAGTAATGCAAGGCAAATAACTGAGATTCCGCATTTTAGAACCTGCTTTTGAATTTCCAGAATTACTGCTTTTTCTTTTGCAAGGTGCAGTTTGACTGATTCGAAGAAAACGAAGGTTAACACCTAATGAATCCAAATGGGTACTTAAATTAATTAAAAGGATGGTATATATGCTACTGCTATGGCATAAGTCACAACTGCTATGCATAAAGCAATAATCTTTGTTTATCTTGAAGGTCTTAGGAGTTGGAAGTATGTGAGAGTAAGGTTAAAAACCAGCAAATAGATCCAACAAAACATGTGGCCCACAATTTGAATGATTCGGAGGAATAGGGTGCTAAAATCCATTGAGGATTGGCATATGCATAGATCTCCTTTACAATTTATGCATATATATTCTGCAACTGCAAGCACTTGTTTTTTGGTTTTATTATCCTGATTTTTCATACCTGGAAATTTGGAGGGTTCTGTAATTTAGAAATTAGAATGCAAGCCAATGCTCACTACAATCCTCTCCCAGCACCTGTCTTGAGATGCTGCAACATTCTCCTCGCGATACTTTAATCATTGCCCTTAAAAATTAAATTAAACCAATTCATTTCACGATGTGAAAAGAAAAAACAAACAAACACAAAGATCACCAATAAAGGGATCCCTCAACTCCCAAGATCATACCTTTCTCTTATTCAACTTATAGTTTCTGTCAAATTTGTTATCTTTTCTTTTAGTTTTTTTCTCCTCACAACCAAACACGGTCTTATGCTGCAATTTGCTGTTTGCTCATAAACAAACCCTTTGGATCACCGGTTCAACGACCCGGGTCTTCACTTTGACTGAAAATGGTCAAGTCATAGTAAATAAAAATACTATCTTTATTATATTTATTTATAGTTCGACTCAAAAATTGATTCTTTTAATAAATTAAATTAGTAACAACAACCTTAACATTAGATCAGATTAAAAATGCAGCAAAATAATTATGATTTTAAATTATTATGTCCTAATAATAATAATATATATTTATAATTAGTTTTATTTTCCAATTGCTAAAGCAACACTTGATTCATTGACACATACCGTTAATGACAGTTTGAATGGTTGTAACTACACATGAGAGTGAGACATTCATCCATATATCCATCCAAGAATGTCAACATATTCTTTAAAGGATAAATACAACCTTTTTTATCTTGACACTCTCGTTCCAAACATCAAAGAAAATGACATATCATATCATACCCCCAAGAAAAAGAAGAAATTTTTTTTATCACGAAGCATATTCATTGTCGTTCTTATATAATAAAAGTCTAATGTCATTAAAAAAAAAAGGACAAAAGGGAATTCAAAATTAAAAAATGGACAATTCTTCATGAACCCTAATGATGTTATTTTTAAAGAAAAGAGAGAAGTGAATTTACAAATCCACCCTTTGTTGATTGCAATAGAAATGAGTGCTAGTGTTTGGTTTATGGTAATGGGAAGGCACAGCCGCCACAAGTAAGGACAATGACAGTCCCATTCCCGTACTCTCTTCCAAAAGGCCCGCATCACGTGGAAACCATCTGTTGTTTCTTCTCCCATCGCTTCTAATCCAACTCTATGGATTATATATATATATATATATATATATATATATATATATATATATATATATGGTTATGATAAAATTTAAATTATCAAAATTTAAATTACATATATATATTAAACAAAAAGAAGAAGAAAAATAAAACATTTTTGTATGCAGCACAACTATGCTCGCTTGAAAAACGACATTTCTTAGGATTTCTGTCACAGATACCTCCTCTCCTCACCTATCTGTACCATTCTTGTTCTGTAGTTCCTTTCGTGGTTCTTTTGTTTTCTTCTTCATGTTCTCTCTTTATTCTTATTTAATATAAAATTATTATAACAACCCACTGATTAATGTTATGCACTGGATTAAGCCTGGATCTCCCACGGATTTGGATCCTCATGACTGATAATATATGGTGTAATCATGTTATGCGAGAAAAGTATGTATATATATAAAAGAGTTATAATCATGTAGGATTTGTAAAAAGTGATTTCATTTTTGCATCATTTTTGAAGACTCTAACTAAGTTCATGCATCATTATCACACATATCATTCACATATTTCTAGTAATCACTTTATAATCATCATGTTGCAAATACTATTTGATGTCATTACAATACTTGTATCCTCATGTTGGAATGAATACATAATGATGTATGAGATATTGTAATTAGTTTAGTTAATAATATTCGTAATGCACTCCAACTACCACCTAATACAAACCCTAACTTATGCCTATTTTAAGAGCAAAAATGGTGATTGAACTCTCCCACTACTAAAACGTGCACAACGTAATAGGTAATAGCAAGGAACCCCACTCCCCTGTGAGAAGAGGACAACCCTTGGCCAAGAGCTAGCAGCTCTACCTTCACTATTGTCATCATGGGAATAGATGAACTGAAATTGCTAACTTCTTTCTAACAAGTATAAGATAAATTGCTACTTAAAAAAGATTTGGATCATTGAAATTTTCTGGATTCAATTGTAAAAGCATTGGTCCATAGAGAATATGCAATCCCACTTTAAAATATCCTACAAAATTTAATGCTCTTTTTTAAATCTTTAATAAGGACAAATCTTCTGCTAATAATATAAATCTGGCATTTAAAAAATGGTTGCTGTCATATTCATTCAAATTTGTAACCTTTGAAGTGGCACATAAATGGCAACGAGTCTCAATCCTGTGCTCTAGCCTCAAATTCGCTTCCACACATCAATGCCTTTTTTCTTTTTATATGTCCATTTAATTTATGTTATTAAATGCAGAGAAGGACAAGCTTCGGTTGTTTTTTTTGGTGTCAGTGTTGTTATTCACTGAAAGAAGATAACACAGGAAAGTAAAAAAACATATATATCAACAATAACAACTGTAATAGATGAAATTCAAACTGCTCCTTGCAAAATGACAACCTCAATCTCATTGAATCTCAAAAAATTATCTTTATCTGCTAGCTACCTAGAGCTCTAGGGATACTGCATTTCTTGTTGCAGCAGCTGTTGATTGAAATATATGTTTTTGTCCTGTCTCATAATTTCCATTACATGCAAACGACAAAACTTCAATAATTTTTCCATTGCCATCTACCTATACTACTTAAAAAATATACATTTCAGCATGGAAAATAGGAGTACCACTGCAACCTCCTACTACCCCTGTTCATTGCAGACATTAATATATATATAAAAGTAGATAACCAATACATTTTTTCTATTATTATAATTCAGTTTTCTTGGTGAATTTGGTCCATTATTTATCGAGGGATATGAAAATATATATTATTATTTTAATAATAATTTTAAAAGGGGAAGATATCTACTTCAATCTTATAATATATATTATAATATTACCATTTTTCCCAATTTTTTGAAAGTTGATCGTTTGAAGTTTGATATGCTTATTTTTCTTTTGATCATATAGAGAATAGTAATTTGGAACCAGAATGCGAATGAAAACAATGATGAAAATGATTTTTTTTTCTTTCACATTTTTAATTTAATTGTGTTTTCTATTATTGTTTGATTAATAAGGTTAGCTGAGTGTTGCGTTGCTAAGTTGGCGATTTGAGCAGCATTAGAATAGAACCTGAAAACGACAACAAAGTACATGATCTGATTCAAGCTTTTTGTCCCCACCAACATTAAATACTTAAAATTAAAAGCAGTTTTATTGTTTTTAAAGTTGAAATCTCATTCCATAATTACGTGCCAGGATGTCCAACACACATAACGGTTTAATCAAACGCACAAAATCTTATTTCTTCTATGGTTTTGTCGTTTGTTTTGTTAGATTGTGTGGAAGGAGAGTGAAATATGGACGAAGAGAAAAAGAAAAGTGGGAAGGATGTAGATATTGTGCAAAGATATATATATCGTGTGGGTGAGCTTGCGAGAATGGCTTCCATTCGTTCCTTTTGTTTCTTTTCTTCTTGTTAAGACAAACTCAAAAATTGACTACACGAAAAAGATACAACTACAAATTCAAGCATCTACCTGTCAAAGAAATCAAATTTCGTAATCCACTGTATTTCATCTTCTTCTTTTTTTAGTGTGAATAAATGATAAGAATAATACAATTAAATATCCAACAAAATTAATTCTTCGTCTTTCAAATTCTCATCGATATATTACAAATATAAAAATATTAAAAATGTAAGTAGCGCAATTTTAAAATAATAGGAGAATTTTTTTTTTAACTATATTCAAACATTATTCATTAACAGTTATGAAATAAATAATTCTTATTAGACCCATTTTAAACCACTTATCCTTAACAAAAGAGTAACGTGATAAAAAAATCGTTGTCGATAGAATGTGTTGAAAAATATCTGATAGACTAAATATCCTTTCCAGATTAAAAGATACTCGTTATCTAATTACTCGGGTAATTAATATATTGAAATATGTCTTTTTTATTTTCTTGTTCTTTGGATTTTATGACTGCAATCCTAATTTTGTGATACCAAAAATCGAGGGACTTCGGAAAAACCTAGTTTTGGAAACAATTCATATACTTATCAATGGACGAAAATATTCTAATTAATACATCATGCTATAATTTTGTATCAAAGGTGCAATAAACGAGTTTTATTAGATAAGAATAATCATAAAATTGAGGTGGGAAAAGATACATACGAAGTTTCAAATAGAAACACGATTTATATTTTTAATTTTTTTATTAAACGACTTTCAATTATTCAGGTTATTCTATTAATGTGTTGTTGAGTTTTGAGACGATAAAGATGAACACCAACCACACCATGGACACTTCTCGATAATTTTTCAAAATTTCGATACTTCTTCAACGTCAAAACCTCAAGAGCAGAACTTTTTTTTTTTTTTTTCCACAGTCGCCATGTGCAAGAGAAAGATATATATCAATCTCTTCTAGAAAGCAAGAAGTAATAAAGTAATTATACCGTGTTTATACAGTGAATTTAGTCAGAATTGATGACAAGGTTGCTTGGTGTTGGAGCACACGTGATTTTCTACCCCAACAAAAACCCAAAGTAGATGATAAGGTTTGGCTTAATAAAAAAACCAAGTTTTTAGTTTGTTTCAATGCATGAAAAAATTTATAATTTCTCCGTTTATATTCCTTGTTGTTTTATGTACTTGAAAGGGTGATACAATTCGACACATGGTTGATGGATGTGGATGGATTCATTGATGTCATCGCGATAGTGACCATGTTTAAGATAATTGTTAAACAAATCATAGAGTTCTTAATTAATACGTAGCTTGACTAGTTTGTCTGATTTAAGAAAAACTTGTGTCATTCACAAAATCATAGTGAGTTTTTAATTAATGTATAGTGTGCATTATTTTCTATTTTTTTTTCTTTCATTTGTTATCTTTCTGAGAAATTACGTTATGTAGCTAAAAGCTTACCCAATACTGAAAACCATTCCCATTTGTTTTCGGTCAAATTAGGCCCATAATTGAAACAATGTTGTGGATAGTTTTTGCTTTTCCCACCACATTTTCACTATTTTCACCCCCCAACTTATTGATAATAAGTTCACATACTCTTCAGTAAATGGGTCAATGTGCATGTTAGCCCAAATGTTTTAATTTTATACATTTGTTCTGTTACAATTCTGGACCTATGTGGATTGGGCCATAAAACATACAAAATTAAACATGTTGAACTAATAGGTTCACAATACATTTTATAAATACTTTATGTTATTCCAATCCAATTAATTGAATGTAAAAAATAAAAAGAAAAATTATAACAAATGTACCTTTTTTTTCTTAAATTTATTTTCTATAAATAACTAGTAAACCACACCCATAATAAAAAATATATTTTTTAAAGTTTGTCTCAATAATTTTTAATATTATTTATTTATCTGTTTCCATTATATCACACTCCTTTATTTGTCTCCAAAACAACTTTATTCATAATATTATAATAAAAATAAAAGATAACGGTAACATAATACATTATTACATAAAGTAAAAATATAGCATTCATGGATGTCTGCAAACACATTCTTAAACACTCTAAGCATCAATTGAGGAAACGAAACGTGTCACTTCTTCAATGAGTCGTTTTGCTTTAGACTCATCCCTATACTCTACCCCATGAAACCCTTCTTCTTCAAAATCACTCACCACTTTCACACCCTTCTCTTCCAACATCTCCACCAACTCCTTTTCGCGATCATTGAATGGATCTCCACCGTTCCCACTCACCAACACCCTCCACCCTTGATCTCTCACTCTCACCAATTTCTCATTCCACTTCTCAGCCCTCAGATTCGAATACTCGTGATCACGGTCAACGCCAACGGGCAGCGCTAACTCCCAAAGCATATCCGAAACAGACAGAGGCATAGCCTCGTCATTCGCGAGCCTCACCTCGGACCCAGTCCTCTGGACCCCACCAAAAAACGCCTGGCGCAATATCAGCCCTCGGATTTTCAACGGCTCGAGATCATGTGCCATCTCGGTCACACGTAGACCCGTGAAGTAGGCGATTGTTCCTCCCGCACTGTTCCCCATGAGATAACAATTACCTATGTCGGCGTGTTTTTTTAGCCACTCATCGTGGCTGTTTCGGACAAACTCCACCGCCTCCACCGCGTCGTCGTAGGCCGCCGGGAGGCGGTGCTCTGGTGCAAGGCGGTACTCGACGGAGGCGACGACGGCGGGGACGGCAGCGGACATGGCGGAGCAAAATTCGTGGAACATGGTGGAGGCTGCGCTGGTGACGATGAAACCGCTTCCATGGAAGAAAATAATGAGAGGGAGCTTCTGGTGTTTTGGGTTTGAGGATAGTGCTATTTGGGGTAAGAATAAGCGTAGCCACGTGTTGTTTTGTTGGTTGATGGTTATGTCTTTGGTGAGAACTGGGAGAGTAGGGTCTGAAGAGGGTGCTGTGCTCGGAATGTGACGTAAACGAGTGAGGGTGCCGTTAGGGTTTAGAACGATGCCGATGAGGCGAAAGGGATCAATGGAGTGTTGGTGCTGCTGTTGATTTTGATGAGACATGGTGGCGCAAGTAGGTTATGATGAAGAAGATGAAAGTGTTGTTGTGTGTTGCAATGTGCAGAGAAGTTGTGAAGTGAAACAAGCTATTTTGTGTTCTTTTATGGCGTGTATGTTTTAAGTTTGTCAACTTTGGCAACTTACACGGTTCCAAACTCCTATACGTTTTTCAACTTTTATGAATTTTCAAAAGTTAACTTGCAGAAGATGTGACGATATATCAGAAACTAATTTCCAATAAGTTCACAACCTCAAATTAAGAACTATAATTTCAGCACCTACATGAGAGCGAGAGTTTAGCACGACAACGAAAGGAAAACGATGAGAAGATCGAAGGGGCCATGCAGGGGAGGGAGAAAGGGAAAGGAGTTGGAGTATTTTGAGAATATTAGAAAAATGCATTAAATGATTTGAATTTAAAAGCGGATACACGGTCTAAAACTGGATTTAAAATCAACTAACTCAAAAACTGTAACAAACTAAGTTTTTTACTTAAACATTTTCACTATGCAGTATATAAGGCTGAATATACTTTCGTCTTTTAAAAATTCAATTCAACTTTATGCAGATTGAATGTCAAGGAAAAAAAATTAATCTTTGAACTTTGGTTTAAAAATGATTACAAAACATAAATTAATTACAAATAATATATATACACTAAAAAAAACTTCATAATTTTAACAATTATAAAAAAGTAAAAATTCAAGATAATTTATAATAAATAATTTAATTGGTATAATAATCCTAATTAATATTAAATTTCTTTAAAAAAAATATTTATTTTATTTTTTTAACTTTATCCTCTCTTTTTTTCATTCTTTCACTTTCTTTTACTCTTTTTTTCTCTCTTGCCGTCTCTTTCACTCTCACATTCATCCTTCACTCCAACACCACATATTCTTTCTCAAACACTTAATTATAAGAGTTGTAGGGTTCTAAAAGAAATTATAAATTATGACAGTATATTTCTCAATATCAAAACAATATCGACCTATGATAATAAATTTGATTTATTTTTATCGATCATTTTTAAATATATAATATTTTAAATTTAATTTTAATTTAGTTTTTACCATTTTTAATTCAATAGTAATTAGATAATTTGATTAAAATTTCACATGATATATATAATCAAATATAATTAAATTATAATATTAGGAGTGAGTTAAATTTATATTTATTCTTAATATAATTATATTATAAAATAGATATAAAAATAGATATAATAATTATTCTAATAAATTTATTAAGAGTCTCAAAGGAAAATTTATATAAAAAGTAATTTATATTTTTTTCTTAACTTACCAAGAAATAAAAAAAATATAATAAAAAATAATTTTTTTAATATAGACAATAACTCAAATATAATAATTATAAATATAACTATATTATATCTCTTGAAAAAAATAAATATCACATATTTTAATAATATTTGGACTTATCTCACTATTTACATTCTTGATTTGAGAGAATAATGCTCTTGATAAAAAAAAATTAAGTAAAACTTTACGTCAACCTATTTTAAAATGTCATATTTTTAATAAATTTTTGTCTTCCTTTTCACTAAAATATTTTTAACATAATTTAAATTAAAATAATTTTAATTTAACCACCTTCAAAAATCTTTAATTAAGTTTATGATTATAATATGTTTAGTTTAATTTACTTTAGGTTTTAACGAAAGCATATTCTCTCAATCAAATTAAAATATTTTTTACTTGTACTCTTCATTAATTTCTCTCAATCAACATACCTTGAACTTAGTTTCAAAAAAAAAAATCATTATCAATCTTGACTAAAACATATTTCTTTATATATGGTTAAAAAAATCTTGGCTGAACCTTAATTAAGGAAAACATATATTTTACATTTTATTATATGGATTTTATATTTAAAAACTCTAAAAAATATATTCGTACATAAATACTACAAGAAAATTATTAATTATTGATGGATATTTATCGATGATACGTAGTCGTCAAAAAATAATTGATTATCGACTGAAAATTACCGACAAATTTAAAGTAGATGTGAAATTTGGTCTTACCGAACGGATATATCCGCCAGTGAATCTATCGATAAATAAATAATTAATTACCGACGGATATATCCGGTCGGTAAATTTGTTAATAAATAAATAATTATTTAATCACGGATATATCCGTCAGTAAATCCGTTGGTAAATGAACAATTAATTACCGACGGATATATCCATCGGTAAATTAACAATTTTGATAAATAATAATTAATTATCGATCGAATATATCCATTCAGTAAATTAACAATTAGCATTACCGATGAATTTAAAATATATTTTTAAAAATCAACATTAAATTAAAAAAATTAAATATTTATAATTATATAATAATTACTTAATTTTAAATATATTCTAATAAATTAATTATTTACCTAATTAAAAATTTAAATATTTTTTTATTTAATAATTTAATTTAATCATAATTAGATTAATTTATAATAATTTGTTAAATTAAATAATTTTAAAAATAAATATTTAAGTATTTTTAATATTAAAAAAATATTTTAATATAATAATTTTAATTAAATAATAGAAAAAGATAAAGATAAAAAGAATAAATTAAAATAAAATAAAAATTTAAAAAAATTATATTATTATATAAATAAATTATAAAGATTATATTTTATTATTAAATTACAAACTCATATAAAGATACCTATTCATAAATTTGACATCAAAATTTTGAAGACTCACTTGATACACACTTTCATCTTTGAAGCACACTCTCACCTCTAACATATAAATATATCAAAATATATAAATATATTTATATTTATATTTATACTGGATATATAATTATTTGTATATAAATATAATTTATTTGTATATTATTATTAGAAAATTATAATAACTTAATGGTTAGAGTGTCATGCTCTAATTCTAAGGTATTGAGTTTGACTTTTTAAATCCGTCAATAATATGTATTTACCGACTGATTTTTTTATTAGCGACAAATTGTTTTGATCGAAAATTTTAATTTTTCTTGTGAAATGTAATATGTTAAAATAGATTGAATTTAGTTTGGAGTAGTTTAATTATGAATTTTATTTAATTAAAATTCTTTTAACAGTTATAGGTGTAAATAGATTTACTTACCATCATAATGCTAAATAAAACTCATACGTGTCTATCATGCTGGAGCAGTCCAAAACCCGTATGAAACGAAACTATTGACCCGATTAAGCCAATATCATAAGACATTATTAAATATAATTAGAATCAGTGAACTAAGAATATAGATGAATTAAGTTGCAGAATATTCATGTATCTAAATCAAATTTAATATTATTAAATTTATTTAAAAATTATATTTATTTATATATTATAATTATATTTTTAATTATTGTGATATTTTTAATATTTTTCAATTTAGAACTAGATATATTAAAATAAAAATTAATTAGTTATTAATGATATATATTTTGGTACAATTATTAGTATGACAGACCCTTTCCTCTTTTAACTTAATAATATATTCTTTAAGATAAAGAAATAAAGTTTTAAAATAAATAATATCTTAAATAAAAAATTGATTATAATAATATTATTATAATAAATATAAGATTGAAATTCAATATTGATTGAGTAAATTTTTATTATATTTTTAAATATTTCTTAATTTTTTATTAGAGATTATATTTTAAGTAAGTTTTGATGATTAAAAAGTTGAGATAAATAATAATTTTTATTTATTTATTTTTATTAATTTATTAAAAGATATTTCAAAGATAAATTAATGTAGAGTTCCTAAACTATTAATATATAAATATAATAATTAATTTTAATAATATTATAATAATATACATAAGATTATATACCTCTTATTCCTGTACTTAAAATATTTCAAATAAACGTAACAAATTATTTGTAATAGATTTTAATATAGTCTTATACAATTTAAATTAAATTAAATTTTAAAAATTTATTTTTAAGATAAAAATTACTTGTTAATAAGAATTGAATTTATTTTGTTACACATCATCACATCTAATAATATATCTACTTCAATTTCAGAAAGTTAATTTAGAATATAATATTATATAAGTTGAGGATATTTTCTTTCTTAAAAAACATCACATGAATAATAGTGCTAGAATTAATTGTGATTTAGACGTTTGAATATTATCAATGAAATTGAAACTTCTTTTGTCTACATTAACTTAACGTGTCAAACTTGAATGCATGAAACACAGTTAAAACCCGTGGGTTGCCAGTGCCAGTAGTTTCGTTGTAAAAGATCTTGGATCTTACAAATCCTATCTCATAAATTTCAACCATGAATACAGATGATCCACGAGGTATGAAAAATGAAAAAAAAAAAAACTTTATGAGTTAGAGTAAATTTTTTAAAATAACCCAAATTTCGGTGACATTTTTAAAAGCATTACATAAAAAATTTTCATGTTTGATTATAATAAAAAATAACGTTTATTCTATGTTCAAAATAGATTTTTTTTTTAATTTTGAATAAGATTTTATATTTTTACATTTTTTTTAAATAGGAGACATACAATGTTTTAGAAACTTGTTTAAATAATAATTGTAGTATACATTCAAAAATATATTTTACATATCTATTTAAATTATCTTGATGTTGTTTAGTTGTATAGATTTCTCTTGATATTTGTTAATTCGTGATTTTTTTCTTAGTTTTAGTTTCCTAATTTTAAACTCTATTAAAGTTTACAATTATGCAAATTATTAATGTAACCATTAAATGAATATCAAATCTGTAAAAAATAGCATCTAACCACTAATGAATACAGTGAGTTAGTTTAATTATAACTGTGGTTACATGTCAGACAAATAAACAAATCTCTCTAAGAAAAAGGCGTGAAATATATAAAGAAAATAAATTTTTTATTAGTATTAGTTTACAGACAAGTTAAAAGTAAATATTTAAAGAAATTATATTTGAACAAAATTTAATTTTTTATTATTTTTCCTTTTTGAAGTTTTTATGGAA